CACCTAGTAATTTTGAAAGAAGACAGGTAGAAGGAGGCTTTAAATAGGAGTTCAGGGTTCCTCCCTGCCCCCCCCCCCCAATAAGAAATTAACATACATCCTGGTGCATATACAAAGACCAAACCAGCTTTCTGGAGGTTACCTTGGAGAACTTATCAGAGCCTTTGGTATCTATCAGTCATACCAAATTATGGGTATGCAGTCAAAACCACCTTACTTACTCACTGGCAGTCTGAGAAACTGGAGAAGTGTGGCCCACTTCTCACTTGTTCACTTCCCTTCCTGGTTCTGTGCTGGCTTAACCACAAAGAAATTAGAAGTGCAAGGCTCACTGTGCCTGAACACAGTTCATGAAGAAATAGGCAAGAGAAGGAGGTTCAGATGGGTCAGGTCGCTATCTCATTGCAGTAACTTTCCACATCACCACCAGTAAACTGAGTCTAGTGGGGGGATCAGAGGTATAAACCAATTTCATCAATAATATCAGTTGTCAAGTTATCCAGGGAAACAAACTACAAGTGTTTTCTTTCGTACTCTCTCTCACCTCGGCAGTTGAGGGTGAAAGGTCTCACAAAATCTTTTCCTCTGCTGACTTCTGTTAACCAGCTAGCTCTTCTTACCATGAAAACTAGACACAGTGGTATCAACTATATTGCCAGGCAACTTTGCTTCTGTTGAAAATTACTCCTGATTGGTAGGTTGCATCTAGATTAGGAAAACTTTTGATAGGAAGCCATAGCTTTGGGCTTCCCTGAATGTGGAACCTCTTATAACTGGATGCTCTTATGAGGACCCTCAACTGCCACCTGGGAAGATGATCGTTCCTGGAGAGCTATGTGGACTGTCTGCTACACAGACTGCTGCAAAGCCTCCTTGAAAGGACATTTGGCCTGACTACCCTGCGGGTTACTTATGGTTCCTGTCCTGTATCTTTCTTAGTAAAACTGGTCCATGTGTACAAATGCAATGCAACAATTGCCGTGGTGTCCGACTCACAGTGACCCCTCCTTGGGTTTCCAAGGCAGCATTACTACGGAAGTAGATTGCCCAACCTTCCTTCCGGGGAGTGGCTGATGGATTTGAACCACCAGCCTTCTGATTAGCTGTCAAATGCCTTAGGCACTACGCTACCAGAGGTAATCTTGGCTCTGAGCAGTTAACTGAATCTAAGATGATCTCCTGGTAGGTGTCACAGAAGTGAAACAGCAATCTTGTTGAAATACACAGATGAGAGAATAAAGGTTCTCTTATGATGCCATTTTTCTAATGTATTGAACTTAAAAGTCAAGCTTGAGGTCAACAGGGATTTGGCTCTGCTCCTCAGGAGGAAAGCCCATACCGTATCAGGAGTCTTTACCCTTCTAAGGCACCTTTGTACCTCGTGTCAGGAGCTCTGGTGGCAGAGTTTAAAGCATTCAGGTGCTAGCCAAAAGTTCAGGAGCTTGAACCCACTAGTTGCTCTGTGGGAGAAAGATAAGGCAGCCTGCTTCTATAAAGATTTCCAGCCTTGGAAGCCCTAAGGGATAGTTCTGCTCTGCCCTATAGTGTTGCTGAGTCAGAATAGATGGCAGCAGGTTTGGTTTGGGGGATATATCTAATGTAGCCTCTTTGACCAAAAGACACAGTTCATTGTCACACAAAGCAGTGAAACTGACCAAACAAGACAAGACATCCATTAACTCCAAAGTCCTTCTGCTGAAAGAAAAAGGAAAAAAAAGATAATACCCAGGGCCAGGCATACAATCCGAAAGAGTTTATAATGAAATAAAATACCCCCAAAATAATGTAGTATCAATAACAAAAATAAATCCAAAGGTGACATCTAAATTCCAAAATTTCTCCACCCAATCTCAACTGAGAATTCAATCAGATAATAGTATTCTTTCAGCATTTAGTTACTCATGTTAAATCCTTTGTATAAATCCTTCTAATCCTCACATTTCCCTGAAGCTGGTGTTTTCTGTTTTTTAATGATGTGCATTTTATCAATTGAGGCTGTGAGAAATTACTTATACGAAGTCCACTGCTAGGCTACAACCTATGATTAGGAGAGACTTCTGCCATTAAGAAGTTAAGAGTTTTGAGGTTCTCATAGGATAAGTGCCACTTACCAAATTCCAATTTCTTTTCACATCCCCAAAAGAATACCTACCCACAAGGGTATGTGATAAAGTAAACATCTCAAACTAACAGCTCACACAACAGGTAGGGACTATACAAACAGGAGGGTTCATTCCTAGCAGCGGTGGGCCTCACCCTGTGTAAGGAAATGCCAAGCACCAGTGGGAGACCTGGTGAATCAGGTTCCTGAGAAGTGACTTGGAAAACACAGAATCAGGACCTGGGGGAGGGCACTTCATCTTGAAGGGGAGAGATCCATTGATAGATAAAGGGGAAAAAAAAAAGAACTCTACAAAAAACCCAGTAATCACAGTACTGGGCATTTATTCCAGAAGAGAAAATTAACATACTCTGATTCCATTTATAACAGTCTCAAAAGGACAAAATTATAAAGATGGAGAAAAGGTTAATGGTTGCCAGGGGTTAGAAATAAGAGATGGTGGAAGGTTGACTAGGTGTGATTGATTATAAAGGGGTAGCACAAGAGATCTTTGTCATGGTGGGACAGTTCTTTACCTGGTGTTGGTTCCCAAATCCAAACATTGGTAACACTGCACACAACTACTGATGAGTAGAAAAAATACATAGTGAAATCTGAGCAAGGTCTGTGGACTATACCAAGGTCTGTTTCCTTCTTTGATACTATACTACAGTTATGTAAGACTTTACAATATGGAAAAACTGGGGGAAGGGTACACAAAACTCCTGTACTATTTACTCTTTTGCAGTTTCTTGTAAATCTACATTTCAAAGTTTAAAAAAAAAAAATTAAGTCTACAAGGTATCAGAAAACTTCCCCTGCATAACAGACTTTATTTTGAAAGAAACCTCATTTCACAAGACAGCTTATAAGAAGGTATTCTTAAAGCAAACCCTTTACCTCCTTCTATTTGATTATTTGCTATTATTGGTGACTCAACACACATACACAAATCATATCCTCTGAAAAGAACACGCAAAGTCCCTCTTAAAAGGAAAGCTGAAAATTAGAAAATTCCCAATGAAAAGTCTGGAAAAAAAAAAAGAGTAAAAACAACATGTTAATTTGAACTATGTGTAAATAAGCAATTGCAGATATACAAAATCCAAATTAGAAATCAAAACCTCAGAATTGGGTTAGTACGTGAAGATGTGAAATCGCTACTGACTGAAATCAGGAAAAAATACAGAATACAGTGTGTACAGAAAAATACAACTAAAATTACAGTAAGAGACACACAAGAAATGAAAAGACACAAAATGAAACTGAAAGAGGTTAGAAGAATTAACAAAGGCTGATAAATACAAAAGGCAAAGAAGACCCAATTTATTTATAATTGGAGTCCCTGAAAATAAGGTTGAACCAAACTAGTATTTAAAACTATTTCAGTTCTCAAAATGTGGTCAATTAGGCAAAACTGGAATGACACAATCAATAAGGCAAATGAACTGATCTCCAAAGAGTCAATTACCATGAGGAAATAAAAAGCTAAGGAATCAGTTCTAGATTAGTTACAAATAACATGCAATGTATGCTCTATGAGTGGATTCTAGTTTTTTAAAAAGTATGAAAGATATTTTGAGACATCTGAGGATTTGAGTTTGGCTGCGTATTAGATGACAATTGTTAATTTTCTCAGCTGTGTTCACAGATTTGTATTTAGGAGGATGTCCTTATTCTGAGAAGATGTATGCTGAAATATCTAGGGGTGAAATTTCATCATGTCTGTAATTTCAAAGGTTCAGAAATATATATATGATCAAAGGTTCAGAAATATATATATGAATACATACACATAAACTAATAAAATATATAATATATAAATAAAAGATTTAAAAAATTGTTCAAACTGAGTGGTGGGTATAAAGAGATCACTTTTCCTTTTTGCTTGAAAATGTACATGATAAACAAGCAGCATATACCCACACAGTTGGATTGTAACACTGCAATTCCCAAATTCTTTGGGGGAACATCCACCAACATACACACTCTCAACTAAATGGTATTTGATATACATCCACACCTCACTTGCTGATATGGTTAGGTGCCAAACATAAGCTCGCTGTGTGGTAATTGGCATAATGCCAAAATGAGGATGACATTATTACATAACAATGAAATTACATCATTACATAATTGCCAAACCACTTGCAGTCACAGTCAGCGTTATTCTCACCTTGGCATTAATTACTACCAAACCATTAAAGCACAAAATAGATAGCACATTGATTGTCATAAATATGAAATGTTAGGTAACAACAAATAGTAAGTGAGGGGTAGGTATACTCTTGTGTTTACAAAACTTAAAATTTTGCAGTAGTGGCACTCCAGGCACAAGAAAGTAGCACTGTCCCACCTATCTAAAACACTTTAATTTCCATTTAGGATGTTGAGTTTTATGTTTCTATCAATCCACTGTGAGAATACTCCACGTTTGTAAAAGGAAACAACTCCATTTTCAGTACTCTCCTGACTTGACTTCTTTCCTTAGCAGATTGGCTCCAAGATGATTTTCTTTATACCAAGAACCCTCAACATCTTAACCTAACTTTCACTGTACCTCATCTGTAAGATCTCAACTTAGAATAAATCCAATGTGAAAATGCACTCCCTGCTTCCACCAAGCTTTCTTTTCTTGACCTCCCATAATAATGTGATAAGGCCTCCTGAGAAATTTCATACCACTTTATATTGCTGGTTTATCTCCCAGATGGAAAATAATATGCCTCTGAATCATGGCGATTATTTCTCATTCTTACGGCAACTCTTTCTTTGACCTTGTCATTTGTGAAGAGACACAGAATTATGTGTTTAATCTCTTAAATGGATACAACATTAAAAAAAGAAAAAAAGATAACAGCCACAGAACAGATATGGTTAATGTATTTATAATCTGACAAAAAGGTAATGTTTTTTAGATGTTCATGTTCTGTCTTCCCTGGAAAGTTCTCAATTCTTGTCACTGACACTTGTAAGCAATTGAGCCGCTTCAGTCTGTATCTAAAATGGAAAAGTACATGTTATAAATAAGCAGTACAGCACACAGGTAAACTTGTGAAATTTTTCATAAAATGGAGTGTGGTTTCTAAAAGTTTCTAGGATAGTACAGTGAGCAAATGAGACTCTCTCTCTCAGCCACTTTGGTATACATCCCTTTCGTTTTGTTTTAGAGATCTTAATTTATCATATGTCAAACAGGAATAATTCCATATTACAGCAAGTAATTCAAAACATCTCTTTGGTGATAGTAACTACACATTTCCTGCAGAGAAATTAGTATAAATATTAATGAATTCATTTGAAACGAATGCTTTTTTCTTTTCCTAGCTATCATGTATTCAGACAATCATGTTTTTCAAGACGTTTTTAATTCATTTTCATTGAACAGTGCCTCGATGGAAGCCCATCTGCCTTACTTCATTAGAGCTGTTTTACCTGTTTATCTTCCTCTGTGTGTGCTGGATAGTCCCTGGCTTTCAGCAGCCAGAAAGCAGCAAGTTTTTTGTTTTGTAGTTTCAAATATGTCTTCCCTAAAAGTAGCAAGTTTTTACTGTAGAAGTTTGGATCCACTGTACATAAGAAAGAAAATTTATCTCAAATGAAATGTTGCTTTTATTTTTAGTGGTTTTATTGTTTTGGCCTGAATTCTAATAATAAATTTTATGTCAAGTGATTAAGCTACTGTAGTTTTTTCTGTTCAAATAACCATATCTCAAATATTTGTAAAGTATGAGTTACCACTTATTGAGTGCCTGTTTATGCTAGGCATTGTGTTATGCACATTTCTACTTTTCACAGCAACTTTATAAAATAGGTATTATCTCTATTTTATAGATGACAAACTCAGACTCCGGATAGAATGTAAGCTCTGTACACTGATTTTCATCTCTTTTGTTCCCTCGTATATTCCAAGTGCCTAGAACAGTGCCTAGGACATAACATGCACTCAGTATATAATTAATGAATGAATAAAATCATGATGACCAACCATATTTCTTCCATACATTTGATCAACATTGGAATATACTTGACAGCTGTAGGTGGGGTAATTAATTAGCTGCATAATCTTGAATTAGACAGTTAATCTGCCTAAACCTCATCTCAAACAATCCATTGCCAAATGAATCTGAACTCACAGCAACCCTATGGGACACAGTAGAACTTCCCCCATAGGGTTAACCAAGGCTATAATCTTGATAGAAGCAAACTGCCACCTCTTTCCCCCACTGAGAGGCTCCTAAGTTTGAACTGCTGCCCTTTTTGTTAGCAGCCGAGCACTTTAACCACTGTGTCACTAGAACTTCAAGAAGGAAGGCTGAATTATATAAAATAAAGGGCCATTCCAGAATTGCAGCTCTAAATCCAGAAGTAGCATATTTCTTACTCAGGTGGTTGTCACTGGACAAAAATTTTAAAAATTGTTTTATAATATCCACTGCAAAAAAGTACATCAGAGTAAATAACTTGTTTTATGTCTGTCTTATATAATAATCAGCATGCATCGAATTTTAACTAGATTAATAGGTGATACCAAAAATGTTACCTTGTTCCGCCCTGTGAAAGTAGCTTAGAGCCTGTTAAAATACAAAGAGACCAAACATAAGGAAAAGGATTAAAACATACAACATAAAGCAGTAAAAGCATTTCCTCAAAAAATCTCTCTATTCTTGATTGGGACCTTCTAAAAATTAAATGTTTATGTGCTTCCAAAGACTTCTACAAAAGAGTCAAAAGAGAACCTACAGATTGGGAAAAAATATTTGGTAATAACATATCTGACAAGGGACTTATCTCTAGAATTTATAGAACAC